CCCCGCAGTGGTTCACCCCAGATGGATTCCGGTCTCTCTTTGCTCTTGTTGGGACAAATGGTCAAGGAATTGGGACCAGGTTAGGAGTCAGTGTTCTGGATATATTGGACTTGTCCCTTGGGCTCTGGTGGGAAATTGACAGCTCCTTTTAAGAGCAGGCTGGGGCAGGGTGCGACTTTGTGGCCAGAGTACTGGACTATACACAGTGATAGCGATCACTGAGCTGATGGAGTTTGTGCCTCTTGGGAGCTTTGGTCTGTTGGGGAAGATGGGGCCCTGCCCTGGAGAAAGAAATGGGTTTAACTTGTGTGGAGGAGGAGAGCCCTGTGAACCTGGCCTCCTGTTCTCCAACCATGACTGCCTGGCATCCCCAGCTCCCTAAGCCAGTGGGTCCATGCCTGTGATGCTCTGGAGCTGAAGTCTCAGGACCGCGAGCAGCTGGATGCCTTCATTGACCAGCTGTACAAGGACATCGAGGCAGGTTGGTGAGATGGCGACACCCCCCACCCCAGTCAGATGTGGACACAGTCTTTCCCCAAGGACCTCTGAGTTAGTGGTGGGGGACATGAGCCTGCATGCCTGTGGAAGCTTCAGATCTGTCCAAGGGACAGATGAGAAATGGTCCTGAGATCCATGCAGAGGCGCAATCTCTGTGGGTGGGGGAGTGCTGGACAAATAAGAGTGCTATCATTTATAGAAAGGCAAGGCTTGTGCCTCAGAGGTGTAGTAAGTTCAGGTGAAATGGTAGGGATCAGGTGCATCATTGTGGTACGGGGCAAGACAGTGAGGCAGTCCCTTTCCTTGAAAAGCTAGTTTTCTTTTCCCTATAACGTGGGTAGAATAACATCTACATATTACTTCTTACAGCAACTGGCGAGTTTCTTAACTGTGAAGGATCAGGCCTCTTTGTGCTTCAGAGCTGCTGTGAGTCTTGGCATTGAGGAGGGGTGGCCTCATAGTCATGGTGCATCTCTTTCTGTTCGCCTCTTCTAGGCGGAAGGGTTGAGTCTGGGAGTGGGGTTAGATCTGAGCTTCTTGGAGAGTCCTCTGGTCCTTTTTGGTCCATCAGTTGTTCATCCATTCATTCATTGGATTGCTGGCCCCTTAATATACAGGGTCCGGCGGAAATAGCGCCTGCTTGAGTATGGTTGCTAGGGTAATGTGTGCATAATAATTTATAGTTTTAATTTGAACATTTCACCTAAGATATCATATGGGGTGCTTGTGATACTGTTATGTTATAGAATTACATGCTTATGATTTTGTGATAAGATTTTATAATAAAGAAGGGGCATTATTTGTGCTGGACCTTGTATGTTTATACAGAAGACCTTCCAGTGGGTCAGACCCTGTGCTCTGGCAGGGCACTGAGCTGTGACCCTCAGAGGAACCGTGGCTGTGTACCACCAGTGCCCTGTGAAATTTGGCAGTGTTGCTACAGCCTGAGAGGCCCTCGGGATCCTGGGAGGAGGGAGCTCAGGCTAGCAGGCAGTCCCCACCTGCCGAGGAGGGGTAGAGTCAGCTCAGACTATTGTCTGTGCTAGATCCAGCCTCCCGCCCTCTGGTTTCCTCACTGCAAACCCCTCTATGCATGTTGCAGGGCCACTAGACCCTCCCGAACTAAGCTCTCAGAGGGCCTGGCTCAGCTGCTACTAGATGTTCAGCAGCAGACAGGACTGAGTTAGTGGTTTGACCTGGGCAGCCCTTTTGTGGCCCTGTGCCACCCTTTGCGAGACACTGGGGATACAACTGAGAATCACGGTGACCAGTGAGGAGGAAAGCAGTGGTAGACATGGACTGTGGCAGAGGGAGTGATGTGGGCATGCATTTGTGTCTGTGCTCTTGAGGAAAGAGCACTGGACGAGGAGTTAGGAAACTCGAGTTCTAGGACCTGCACAGCCCTAGCTGGGATCAGAAAACAAGAAAGGATGGGACCTAGTACTCTCCAGAGTTGAGGCTGTTATGTTTATTAGTCAGCAGTCCTAATGACCTGCCTCTCATGACCCAGGCAACCACAGCTGTGTCCCCAATGCAGAGACCTCCTTCCCAGAAAACAACTTCCTCTTGCATGTCACTGCCCTGGAGGACATTAAGCCAGGAGAGGTGAGGGGCTGGGAGCTGTGGGGAGCATGGGTAGCAGCAGTGGGCTTTGCAGGCTCTCTCCACAGACTGGAAGCAGCAGTGGCTCGGGCCCAAGTTCAGGCTGTTGAGTTGAATCCCCCATGCCCCAGGGAAAGAGACTTTCTGTCCATGGATATGTTCTGACCCCACCCCATTTCTTGAAAAAATAACTCCAGAACACCTCAGAGCAGTGTTTGAAAGACAGCTGTATGCCAGGTTCTTGTCTCTAGCTACTTCTTTTCTCTTTTTTTAAATCCTCACCTGAGGATATGTTTTTGCTGATTTTATAGAGAGAGGAAGGGGGAGAGAGAGAGAGAGAAACACTGATTGGTTGCCTCTTGTATGTACCCGGACTGGGGATCGAACCTGTAACCTAGGTATGTGCCCTGACCCGGAATTGAACCTGAAACCTTTTGGTGTACAGGACAATGCTCCAACCAACTGAGCTACCTGGCCAGGGACCCAGCTACCTTTAGATGAACAAACCTGTAGCTTCTAAGAAAGTCAGAGGTGGCTCTTTGTGGCTTGGGCTGTGAGGAACTAGTGTGGGTCTGGGGTACTGGCTGTGAATACAATACATAGCCTGGCTGAATCTTCTACCAGGGCAAGTAGCATTGCACCAAGATAACTTCTGAACCCAGCCACTGACCTTGCCCCTTAATGCCTTTAGCCATGGCCTGAGGCTAACTGCAGTCCTCTTGCTGCCTCACAAGTTAGAGCCTCATAGAGATCTGTTTGCTGAGGGCACAGGGAATGGATCAGGGCAGTGCACCCATTCATGCAGGGCAGCTTGGGCCCTTGGGATAAGGCAGAAGGTGGGGACAGGGTAGTGGTTGGGGAGGCCCTAATCCCATCTAATAGAGAGCACAGACTGGGAGGACCCACTTCTCCTCTGCCCTCCAGGAAATCTGTATCAGCTACTTAGATTGCTGTCAGCGGGAGCGCAGCCGCCACAGCCGCCACAAGATCCTCAGGTGCCAGCTGGGGACGAGGTGGGCAGCTGGGCTCGGGTCCTCCATCCCAGCAGCTGCCTGACTTCACCCTCCACCATCCCCCTACCCCCTGCAGGGAGAACTATCTGTTTGTCTGTTCCTGCCCCAAATGCCTGGCAGAAGCTGATGAACCCAACGTGACCTCAGAGGAGGAGGACGAAGAAGACGAGGGAGAGCCAGAAGATGCAGAGCTGGGGGATGAGATGACTGATGTGTGATGTCACCCTGCCTGGCAGGGGCCCCACCCCAGACTCCGCGAGAACAGGGGGTCTTACCCCAGAGAAGAGGCTCGGAAGGAACTCCCCACTCCTGTTGCCTGCTTCCCCCAGTCCAGCTCTGTTTCTGCCACAGGGTGTAGGACAGAGGCTGAACCCTCAGCCCTCCATTTCCCACCAGACCTCATGTGCTGGACACTGCTGCTGAATGGCTCAGGTTCTGCACTGTCACTGAGCCTTTCAGAATTGTCCTCCCCCTGCAGTTCTCCACTCCAGAGTGTGAGCAGCTGGAACCAAGGTCAGAGCCTAACAGTGTTTCTTCACCCTTGGTCCCATGGCTATGCCTGCCCGTCCCTCTGAGGCTTCACCTCTCTCTACTTGCTGTGGAGGGGGCAGCAAAGTGGCAGTCAGAACAGCCTTACTTTATTGAAGAACGGTAGGGCGGGCAGTGAGTTGCCTTCACCTTCTTCCCTGCCTCCCACCATTGCAGTTGATAAGGCAACTGCCTGGCTACTACTAGCACAGCTGGGGGAGGCAGGAAGGAGGGGCTGGGCCTCCAGAGCACTTTCCCTAAGGCTCTCTGCTGGGAATGCTGGGCAGGGAGAATTCCCTCTCCCCACGTCCCCACTCCCGCCACTTGGACAGCTCAGGGAGTGGAGATGAACCCCTTCCCCAAGCTCCAGAATCTCTGTATCTTGTGCCTTGCCTCTCAGCCCTGGCACAGTGGCGGGCCCCATGGAATGGAAAAGGCCTCTGCGTCCCTCAGGAGGGGTATGTGGAGGATCATTAGCCAGTCCTCACACCCTCTTCCTACTGAGGACTCCAGCAGCAGGCTGAGACCTGGGGATGGCAGGCCTCTGCTCCTTAAGTTACGATGCTCTAGTTATCCCTGGGACCCATTGAACATGAATCAGTGAGGGGCTCTCCTGTCCTCCATCTTTAGGGTCTCCACAGAGGAACACTGAAGTCTTCCAGAAACCTAGAGGAACTGGGTTAGATACTCAGAGATTAGCCCGGACTGTGTCCCCCATCCCCAGATTAGTAGTACCCCTCATTCTTGGGTTGGGTGCTATGAGAATTATAACCCTTCACTTGCAGTTATCAGAGTTCTGCCTACCTTCCCTAAGGGGTCTTCACATCCCCCTGCTAAGGGATCCCAGGAAGGCAGATGGCTGCCCACAGGCCCTTCCCTGGATTATGAGCCAGGTGGAGCCTGCCTCTCTGGCCTTTGGGGTTCTTCCTCCTTCACAGCAGCTGGCATCCCCTCCCACTCCTGCCTGCCCACTGTTCTCAATAAAGTGTGAGTGGTGACAGGCCTCTGAAGGAATGCTTGGTGGAGCAGGACTTGCCAGAATGCCAGAGCATGCGGCAGAAGGGTACATGGGGTAGACCAGGTAATGGTAGGAGGTGGGAGCTCTAGCTCCCCAGTTGGGGCTCATCCCTGGTCTTGCCTCCACTCTGCTGTGCTGATGTTCTAAAGCCCCAGAGGACTATGGCTCCTAAGATCTTAAGCAGAAGGGTGTGTTGGGACCCAGGACGGCAGTCTGAAGGAACTTGGACAAGTCTTTTGTCCTCCCTGGGCCTCAGTTTCCTCCCCTCAATGCAAGGGCTTCTGGCCAGTAGAGATCAAAGGCTCCCCCCACTCGTGTGCTGTTACTCTAGGACACAGTTGCAACCCTGATGAGAGGCTTTATTGCTAAAAAGTCAGTGAGGGTTTATTGAGTCGTCGAAAACCAGCTCTTAAACCACTCCAGCAACTGCAGTGAAGGAGACTGAGGAGATGCTGGGTGGGTAGGCTGGAGTCAGGTGGGATGTGACAGGTCGTGGAGCTCTCGGGCCACCTGCCTTTTGCCCCTGTTCCAGATTCTAGCCAAGAAGCCCTGGGACATGGGTCTTGCATCTTCCCATAGCCTGAGACAACCTTGGGGGCCCCGGGGAAGGGAAACAGTGGTGTGGCTTCCCTTAGCCTAGACCAGGCCCACTTCTTCCTCTGCCTGGCTCCACCTGTCCTCAAATGCTGTCTCCAAGTCCCACACAGCAGAATTCCTGGGTTTCCCCTTCCCAGCCTAGAGTTGCTTTATGGGGGGAAGGTGGGACCGACTCTTCTACCAGAAGGTCCAGGGCGGTTGCAGCAGCTCAAAGGTGGGGATGCTGGTGACATTAACTGGGATGGAAATGATTGCCCACGGCAGCCCGTGCTGTTCCAGGGAGCGGCGGATCATGTAGCTGGTAGGGCATGAAGAGAGGTGGTGACAGTCACTTTCTCAGCATCCCGTCATGCCCCACTGTCACTCTGGGAGTTCCAGAGCCCAAGGACTTTTGGCCCTCCAACTGGGCACCCCACCCCCCCAAGATGAGGCTTGTGGGAAGGGACTAGTGATTGCCCTTGACCTCCCCAAGTCATGGCACCCAGCCTAGTGCTGACAGCCAGAGACAAGGAGCCCTCACCCATCTCGGCCGAGCAGGAAGAGGGCGGGTATGTCAGCCGTGCGCTGGGTACTGTCCTGGATCATCTCCACGTAGAAGCTGTCATTGTCAACTGCGTTGTCAGAGATGATCACCGCCCGCCCACCGTGCTCCTGCACCACCCGGGTCTTGGAGAGGAAGGAGCAGCCCCTGGAAGAGGTGATGATGAGATCAAAGGAAAGGCAAGGGTTTAGCCACCCCTCCCCCAAGCTGTTGCCCTACAAGGATGAATGGAGGACCATGGGTAATTTTTAATAAAGGCTCATAAATAAATGGCCAAAAGGCATAGATAATCATAAAATGATTATTTAAAAACTCTCAAAGGACCACCAGTGCCATTGATCTTAGAATCTACCATATTCATGCCCTCCCCTGCTGTGCCTGTCCGCTTCTCACCCCCTTTCCACCAGAGCAATCTGGTCCTGGATGAAGAAACCGTTGCTGAGTTCTCCACAGGCCTCTGCAGGTTCTGCGGGGACAAGGTGGATCTGCTCATACCTTGTGTGCTGGAAGACATGGAGACAGGTCTGAGTGTGACGAGATGCACCTGCTTTGAGACCAGGCTGACATCCCATTCTATCCCCTCCTCACAAGATGTGAAGGGAAGGTGTGGAGTGGTTTCTGTGTGCTGGGCACTTCATTCTCACAAAGGCATATCTAGTCGTCCTACCCTTTCCCACGAGATAGGCAGGAGAGTTGCTGTGGACCCAGAGAGAGGCAGTACCTTGTCTTAAGTCATCTCATTCAGAGGCAGGACTATCAGGGTCCTTGGTTTTCCACCATTTCATGTTCCCAAAGATAGCTGGTCCCAACACGGTGCCCAGGTCTGTATTATGCCCAGGGAAATAGCTGGAAGCCCTTCCTTCCTGTCCTGCAGCCCCGGAGGGCAGAGCTGGATTCTGCTCCCTTCCCTGTCCCAGCACTCAGGTATTGGTTGAAGGGATGAGAAGGGTTGTCTCAGCTTAGTGGGGAGACGATGGCAACAGGACCGGAGAGGAGGGGCCCGCCCTGAACTTACAAAGATACCACCAAAGTCCTTGGCAGGTGTAGCTGTGAAAATGTATCGAATGTCTCCAGGACTCAGCACTTGGAAGTACAAATAATCATGGATTCGTAAGCCTGAAAAATAAAGAATAGAGGTGAGAAGCCTCCATAGACCCTATAGTCTTCAGCTAAGCAACCTGTAGTCTGGGACCAGGGACCAGCTTCAGCCAAGTGGGTCCTCTAGGTGGGTAGGATAGATGGCCCCTGCCCTGGGAAGGATGGAGCCGAAGGACTGTTAGTAATTCTGGAGATTTATAGCTGCCCCTGCTTACAAAGGTGAGCCAGGAAAACTGAAATCTCTAGTCTTATCTGAGTGTTAATCCATTTTAGCCCTGGTGTTACCTCTCTGAGGATTAATCTATCTTTGCTCTCAAGTGCACCCAAAAGTTTCAAGGTGGAGGATGTGGTAGTCTAGGTACAAAACAATTCTCACTAAAACTTAAAAGCTGACTCTAGCCCTGGCCGGTATGGTTGGTTGAAGTGTCGTCCTGTAACCAAATGTTCACCGGTTCGATTCCCAGTCAGGGCACATGCCCAGGTTATGGGCTCAATCTCTGGTTGGGGTGCCTGCAGGAGACAACCAATCAGTGTTTCTCACATCCATGTTTCTCTCCCTTCCCCCCTCTCAAATGAGAATAAAATAAATCTTTAATAAAAACAATTGAGTTTCTGGTCCCACTGCCATCCTTCTAGTCCACCACTACCATTTCTTGTCCTGACTGGTCTCCCTTCCTCCATTCTTGCTCCCTAAGGTCCATTCACCAAACAACAGCCAAGGACTTTCTTAAAAAATATATTTTTAGAGAGAGGGGAAGGGAGGGAGAAAGATGGAGAGAAACATCAATGTGTGGTTGCCTCTCACACACTTCCCACTGGGGACCTAGCCCACAACCCAGGCATGTGCTCTGACTGGGAATTGAACCCATGATCCTTTGGTTTGCAGGCCAGCACTCAATCCACTGAGTCACATGAGCCATGACCTTCTGAAAGCAATTTAGCAAATATGACCATGTCACTACATCCATGGCTTCAGTGCCCATCTACAGCTTCCCTTTGCACTTAAAATCTAAACTCTTAACTATGGCCTGCAGGGCCCTGCTCCATTGGGCCTTTGGCTACTCCAACCTTATCTCCTTACTCTGTTCAGCCTACAATGGACTCTTCAGTTTCTTTACTTCTCTGAATCTTCTTACAAGCTGTTCTCTCTCTCTGGGAGGCTCCCTACCCTCACTTCATCACACCTCAACCTATTTACCTGGCTCACTCCTACTCATCTGTAGGGTCATAGCTTAAATGTCACTTTCTCAGATAAACCTGTTTTATGACTGCCCTCCCTTTATGTCCATTCAAATGTACTTTTCCTCTATTGACACTTTCAACATAACTTGTAATTATAGAATACTCATAGTTGTTTTGTTGTTTAATGTCTGTCTCCTCCACTGGGACAAGGGCCATAAATTTGTAGCTTCATCCAATGCTGTATCCACATTACCTAACAGTGAGTAGGATATAGTGGGTGCACAATAAGGGCTGTTGAATGAATGAATATTTCCAGCTCCACTGCACAGAGGAAAAGAATGGCCAGAACCAGATTTTTTCTGGGGTATGGGAACTTCTTTTCAGCACCCAAGTGTAATGTTTCACCTAGACTCTAGTGTCTGGTTTCCTTAGCCCAAAGAGACCGTGGAATGTGGAAGGGTGAGAGCCACTGCCACGGGTCAATTAGTCAATCAATAAACCACCAAGCCACTACTGTGTGCCAGGGTTGGGACTGATTATGGTTTTAGTTGTCCTTTCCTACTGCCCAAATCATAGTCACCAGGTAGAGCGCCTCTGCCTTGGCACGGGGCTATGCATCCTTTTACCCTGGGAATGAGGACTTGCCATCAGATACAAATACATTCCCAGGAGCCTTCCTGGATTAGCACTAAACTCACCCCCCACCTCCCCACTCCCCCACATGTTTGCCTGGCCTCAGCGTCTGCTGATCTGTGGAAATTAGGTGTAGTATACATATGTGTATGGCCATATATATTTTTGTGCTCTTGTAGATGCAAACAGGTTGTTTGTGTACATCTGTGCTTGCATGTGAGTACACATGTAGAAGTGTGTTCCTGAATATGTATGTTAGCATTCACATATATTTACGGGAACACACATACATATACGGGAACATATGTGGGAACCAGCATATGGGATCTCTACCTGTCCCATGTTCCTCCTCTTGGTCGCTCCCTCAGCCACAGGGGTCAGCATTAGTCGGGGTAGGGGAGAGTCTTGCTTTCACGTGGGGAGATGAGGCTCAGAGCCCAGCCTCAGGTCGCAGCCAGCTCAAGTTCCTGAGGACCAGCACCCACCCATTCTAACCACCCGAACTCGCAGGGTCCCCAAGGTGACCTGTGGCCCCCAGCCCAAGCCACGCACAAACTGGACAGCCCGCCCCGCAGCACAGCCCCGCCCGTTGCCGCTCACCGTGGGCCGCGACGCACGCGGGGAGCCAGAGCACGAGACAACACCAGCCCACAGCGCCGAGGACCATCTCCGGGGCCCGGTCGGGCGCTGCGCTTCCTACAGCCACCCCGTCGCCGCTCGTTGCTCGCGGGACTTCAGCCTGACAGCTGCTCCTGCCTCCCGCCCCCAGACCCGCTCCCTCCGCTGGTTAGTGGATGGGAACTAGGCCCACGGCTGATTGGCTATGACGCCTGTTCTTGTAGCCACACTTTTTGCCTCTGCGCCGTAGTCCACTCCCTATTGATCAATAGAAGTGGGGCCAAGGGCTGATTGGTCTAAACTCTTAACAGCAAAAGCCGGCCCCCACTCCAGCCCCGCCCCTGCATTTCTCAGTTTGGATTGGACTCCTAGGACCTTGCGGCTAATGAGTGGGCTGGCAGGGACAACAGAAAACTGGAGGTGGGCTCTTGGGAGCACTCACTTCAGTCGATGCAAGTCTCGGTTTTCAACTCTTGTGGTCTCGGCAGGATTCTCCCTGGGGCTGCCTCGCACGACAATGAATTTGCTTTCTCCTAGCTATGCTTTTCTCCTCCCCGACCCCTTCTTGGAAAAGCATTCGTCTAACGCACAGGTGATCTCCGGCGATCCCGCGCTGCTCTTCTTCCTCTGCCCAGTCCCACCAGTGCTTTCGTGGTCCCAGTGGTAGGAGCTGCAGACGTGGTTAGATGCACCCCACCCTCGAGAAGCTCTGGCCAGTACAGAGCCAGAAAGCGGGCATTGGGCCCAGGTACCCACGCCAGCTTCTCTACCACTTACAGTGCAGCTAAGACATTGGCCTCCTTTCCGAAGCTCTCAGCCTGTTTCCTCATCTGTAAAATGGACATGACAGTACCAACGGGATAGGGTTGTAAGCATTAAATGAAATCACTCATGTTAAGAGCACATTTAGGATAAGCTTGGCCCACAATCACTGTTCGATAAATATTTATCTCATATCTTGGTCTGGCGTCCGGGGGCTGGAGGGGATGTGTCGCAGGCCGAGCAAGGACCCTTCATACTCGGTGAGAAAAAGGCCCGACCAAAACTTGGCAAACGTTCGATAACCAACACTTCTCGCTACCGAATCTTCCGAGGCTCCGCCTCTGGCCCTTCTAGCAACTCCAACTCTCTGGTAGCGAACCATAGAGTGGCGGAAGTGGCTCTCCCTCTTCCTCTCCCCGCCCAACGCTGTTCGAACCTTCTGGGGACTTCTCTGGCGCAGGGTGTTGTGGGGTTGCTGGGCGGCCCGGACGCCGAGCTAAGAAGAGGAGTGGCGGGCCACAGAATAAGCTTCCAAGATGATGGTGAGTGGCGTCTCTTGCATCCTTCACCATCCGCCGTCATCCGGTGCTCTTTGGCTTGTGGCTGGCTCCGACTGGCCGCAACATGTCTCATAGGACCCTTCTCTGTTTACTAATTCTGCCCTTGCTCCTATTCCTTATCCATCGGTGGCCACGGCCCGCCATGGCCTCACTCGGCCCAGGCATGGAGCAGGGGCCCTTGGCGAGGGCTATGTTGGAGTTTTGGGGAGGCTCTAGTCGGACCGGCTGAGGACTACAAGTCCCAGGGTGCTTCTGGCAGCGGACCCGGGACAGGGACCCAGTTTTTTAGTCCCCCACAATCGTGACCTGTATTAAAACTAGTGCCGATTTAGCATGTGTAAGCAATTAGTGGCCAGACTTGGAAACCCTGGCTGCCTTGGGAGATGCGGATGTAAAGAAGTGTGTTTTAGAATGACTAGAGCGCAAGGTCTCACCTACGGTCCCTTGGTGTACCGCACTCTCCTGTTGCTGCATGAAGGAAAACAGACCTCTGTGCTCATACTTTCATTCATTCATTCACTTGTTCATTCATTAAGTAAACGCATGCTTAGTGCCAACTGAATGTACCACGTCTGGCTGGTTGGTGGGGTACACTCCCTAGCCAGGAGAATGTGCAGGGCGGATGCATCAGAGCTGTGAAGACCCGGGCTCTAACCCCGACCCTGTCTGCCCCTCCGGATTTGACATTAGATCAGACTTTTCTAGTTAGCCACCTACCTCTGGGTCTCATTAGGGGCGTTGGTGAATCCTGGAGGCTTCCTGTAGCCCTCCTGCCTTCCACACAAGGCATATTTTTCCTTCATCTCATAGCTGCAGGTGCCTTACATGGGTCTTTTTTTTTTTTTTAAGATTTTATTTATTTATTTTTAGAGAGGGAAGGGAGGAGAAAGAGAGAGAGAGAGAAACATAAGTGTGCGGTTACTGGGGGCCATGGCCTGCAACCCAGGAATGTTCCCTGGCTGGGAATCAAACCTGTGATGCTTTGGTTTGCAGCCCGTGCTCTATCCACTGAGCTACGCCAGCCAGGGCCATACATGGGTCTTAAGCCTCGCCAGTGAATTGCTGTCGAACGGGGCCAGCTTTCAAGGCATTGTTTGTTTGTTTGTTTGTTTGTTTGTGGGTTTTCTTCCATTGTATTTTTCAATTACAGTTTACATTCAGTATTTTGCATTAGTGTACAGCATAGAGGTTAGACAACCATACACTCCGCAAAGTGTTCCTCCTGGTATTTCCGTTACCCACCTGGCACAAAGGAGGTGTTTGAGGCCAAACTCCTACTGAGATACTGCTTTCTGTGCATTCGCAGTTCACTCATTCATTTTGGCCTATCAGTCTGAATCAGTTCTCTGCTGTTTTTGTTTGTTTGTTTATTTGTTTCCCTGCTTCCTGCAGCTACTCCCTGTTCTGGTAGATGTCAAACTGACATCTATGAGATGTTTATTCTGCTACCAAATGCCCTATGAATCCAGTTGACCCAAGATAGAAGGAACCTGGCGTTAATCTGTACACCCTCCCCCCTTGTACCTCCAATACTGCCGTTTCAGTCTGTCTTTAGCATTGCCTGTTCTGAAGTCATCTTTATCTTCAGTGCAGAGGCAGCGTAGTAGGACAGTTGAGAGAATGCTGAATGCTGCCTAGTTTGTAACTCAGCTCTGCCACCTACAAGGTGTGTGACTTTGAGCGTGTTTTTTTTTTTTTTAATTATTAATCTTGTTTTTAGTCCTCACCCAAGGACTTTTTTTTCCCCCATTGCCTTTAGAGAGGGAGGAACAGGGAACAAGAGAGAATCGTCATCTGCTTGCCTTTTGTAGGCTCTCCAGCTGGGGATCAAACCCACAACCCAGGCATGTGCCGTGACTGGGAACTGAACCCACAACGTTTTGGTGTATGGTACAGTGCTCCAACCAACTGAGCCACACTGGCCATGGCAACTTTGAGCATGTTACTAAATTTCTGGCCCTCGATCTGTTAGAGGGGATTAGATCAACTAATACGTATGAAGTATCCAGTGTGTAGTAAGCTCTCAGCAAACGTTAGCAGTTCTGCTAGGTTGTTGCTTGCTTCCTTTCCTCCCTGTAATCCATCCTCCTGCCAAGGCAACCATGAAATTTTTGGTTGGCATTCACAGAACTAGGAATCACACCGAGGTTCAGTTTGGTGATAAAACCCTTCACCAGGGCTATAGACCAGCACACTTGTTTTTTTTCCTGAACTGACTTTGCTCTGTTTCTTTGCTGTATTGGCTGTTTATGTGAGTGTGAAACTTCTATCACCAAGGATCCTCATTGCTGTTATCGAATTAGTCTTGGATATTCTAGAAGCCTTCTGTGATTTGAAGAGAGGTAAAAGGGTGCCCCGAAACCTCAGCCCTGTGACTTTGGTACAGCTTGTACGGAATGTTTGTCCTTGCCTTTGGTATTGAGCACTGTAAGCCTTGGAATACAACTACCTGTTGTGGTTTTGTAGAACATCTTGTTTTTAAGGAGGATGAACAGGAAGATCATTAAGCTGAAATTCCCAAGCTTTCTTTGGGTTCTGCAGTTGTTTTTCTACTTGAATAAAATGAATGAGATTACAAAGTAACTCGGAGGCAGAAGCTGGGCTTTCCAAAGCAGTGCCTGCCCCTGGGGAGCTGATAGAAGAGAACTCATCCTGCTTGACCCGGCTTGGCTCACTCTAGCTGTGCCTGCTACCTTTCCCTCCTCGCAGGAAATGGCCTGGCCCAGCCTGCCATTTCTCTAGGGCCTACAAAGCGTAGGGAACTGGGGGACGGTATGGTCAGCTGCTTCCCACCCCTTCCTGCTTTATCCTTAAGAATTCTCAGTGAATCTGCTGTCATGATACTGCCAGTGCTTTTCCAGAAATAAGTCAAGAAGCCAGTGCTATCTTACTTCATTGCTAATATCAAGCACTTTCTGGTATGTATATTTTGAACAGTTGAATTTTCGGCACCAAAAGCTGCTGAATATTGCTTTGTGTGTGGCCAAATCTAGGCACTCCACGAATTGAGATTATTACTATTTCTTTTTTCTTTTTTTTTTAAATTATTTATTTATCTTTAGAGAGGGAAGGGAGGGAGATAGAGAGAGAGAGAAACATCAATGTGCGGTTGCAGGGGGCCGTGGCCTGCAACCCAGGCATGTACCCTGACTGGGAATCAAACCTACGACACTTTGGTTCACAGCCGGCGCTCAATCCACTGAGCTACGCCAGCCAGGGCTGAGATTATTACTATTTCCTTACTTTTGGGAAGCTCATACTTTAAGAAAGGATGGTAGGGGACCAGTGATGCTGCAGACTGGCCTTGGTCACTGGAGAAAGGAGGATCGAGCTCTTAGTGAGGAAACTGGCAAGTTTCTCTAGGGAGTCCCAGTTTCTCTAGGAGAAAGTTTCTCCAGAGAGCCCCAGCAGTGGGCCACTTTTGCTTGAGTTTGATATCTTATAGATGGGAAGATGCAGCATTGTGGTAAAATTGCTGCTGTGGCATTAATTAAACTTCAAAGATCACGTAAACTTGTGTGTCATCAATGGAGCAACTGCAGTGATCATGTTGTTGTGAGGAACACAAGGCGCATTGCATTTTCTGGAAACAAATAAGAACAGAAAGTACAGCTGACACATCCTGGTTACCCAGGTGGATTGAAAGAAGTAACTGCTGCTCACTTCACCAGCAGGGTCCAGGGGGAATTGTAAAAGTAGTTGTTTATGGCATGCTAACAGAAACCTTCACAGAAAAACTGTGATCAGAGGTTGCATTTTTCCACAATGAGGATATACCAAAAGATTTTCTCAAGAATTTAGTGTAAGAGCTTCCACAACCACAGAAAATATCCGAATACCTAGATGAGTACACACGGGAAGAAATAGAGGCTTTCCCGAGAGTGTGGTCTCCACTGAAGATTACCAGCTGTGGAAGAATGAAAACTGCACAAAACCACAATGAGGTGAATTGTAACTTCTTCCTGATAAGTTTCTCCTAACGTATAGGGCCAAGTGAAACACCACTGCATTGGACAAGAAGTATGTTATGGGTGGGGAAAGTTTGTGAAGAAAAGTCAGGAAGGGATCTTCCCTCAACAGGAAATTTTAATAAAATACATTATTTTATAGAATTGCTTGATTGTGTAATTGAATTTGAATTTTATCAGTGGTGATAAGGATAAAGTTGCTTACTTGGCCAACTCGGAAGGAAGAAGGGAAGGAGAGAGAAGGACGGATGGATGGATGGTAGTATAAAAGCTGTGCACAAGAGGAAGTGTAGAGTTACAGGCTCCCCTGTTCGTTATGCCCCTGGTGGCTGCAGTCGAGGAAACCTGGAAGAACTGGGGCTGTGAAGAACTGCTGGCCTGGTGGTAAGAAAGTAGTATGGGTAGAAGTGGCAGGTGGCTCCTGTAGATCGGGGCACAGTTTGGAGGTGAGGAAAGGTCCACAAAAGTGTTGGCTAAGCCTGTTGGAGAGAGAGAAGAACCTGTTCAAGGCAAGAGGAAGGGATTCGAGACTCAAGTTGGTTTTTGATTTAAACCAAGTTTTCACCTGGGGCAGAGTTAAACCGGAGAAGACTTGAGGCAGCCATGAGGAACGATTTAGTTGGGACTGGGAGAAGGTGGGTCCTTTCAGGTAATATGTCTCTCTTGGAAGTTGCAAGGGTCCCAACAGAGTGCTGAGACTATAAAGAAGCCATTTTTTACCTCAAGACTTGGAACACGGCCTGGCTGGTGTAGCTCAGTAGATTGAGTGTGAGCCTGCGAACCAGAGGATTGTAGTTTGATTCCCAGTCAGGGCACATGCCTGGGTTGCAGGCCAGTTCCCAGCAGGGGATGCATGAGAGGCAACCATACATTGATATTTCTCTCCCTCTCTCCTCCCTTTCCCCTTTAAAGATAAATAAATAAAATCTTAAAAAAAAAAGGACTTGGAACACTATCATGAAAAGAGAAGGAATTTCCCCCTCTCCAGTCCATGCCTGGTACTAGATTTAGGGGGTTATCTAATAGGCATTCTTTAAAAAAAAGAAAGAAAAAGTAATGTATGATAGGCTCATTAGGAAAAAGTTGAAACAAAACAGCAAAGATACAACTCAATGTTAGGCCATCCTTACTGACACCCTCACTAGAGTTTGTTGGGTGTCTTTTTAGCCTCTTTTTTTATGCATTTACACATTATATCTTACCTCTTTTTAACTAGTTTCTAGTGATTTTTTTTAAATTTTTGTTTATTTTTTCCTCACTTGAGGACATACAGAAAGGGAGAGAGAGAAACACTGATGCGAAAGAGAAGCATTTACTGGCTGTCTCCCGTATGTACCTGGTCCAGGGATTGCATGTTTCTGGACCCATATCAAACCTGAAACCTAGGCATGTGCCCTGACCAGGAATCAGACAGACCCTCAGCCTTTCCATTATGGGACGATGGTCCAACCAACTGAGCCACACCAGCCAGGGCTCTAGTTGATTTTTTTTTTTTAAACGTAAGTCAGACTGTGCCATTCCTCCACTGCAAGTCTTTCCAGGGCTTCCCTTTATAGAGTAAAATACAAACTCGTTAACACAGTCTACAAGTGAGCATGTGGTTTGTGTTCTGCATGCCTCAGCCTTATTCCAACCTTCTGCTTAGTCACTATCCTCCAGCTTCATTGGCCAAAGGAATTGTCCAGTTAGTATGATGGTGTCATCCTCATAGGTCTCTAGACTTCGTGGTGTGTGAATTCTTGACTCCTTTTAGAGTGGGACAGCCCTGTGCTTTCCTGTGCCATTCCTGCTCAGACACCCAAAGTACCCCTAGGGGTGGACATGGGCAGTAGCTATAAAATTTAAATCATAGCCTAATAGCACACATATAACAAAAGTTTTGAAACAATATTTACCTTAAATATATTGTTTCATACAAACACACAGTTAGTCACAGTCGCTGGGACTGGGGGCTGGGACTGGAGACTGGGTCTGGTTCACGAGCTCATTCCTGAAGGCAGAAGCTTCCATGCAGTATGAAAAACTCTGGCTTGCTCTGCTGGGGAATTGCTGTCTATGCTAATGGTCACTGGGGCAAAGGTATTAAAGCAGGCTCTTTTAAGCAACTATCCTTGTTTTCCAAAGTTTCTAAAGCGAGTCTGCAAATTAAACTTCTGTAGGGATAATGACTTGTTTTGGAGGCCATTGCAAAGTAGGAAGAGAAAAACTTCTCCAGGTATCTGATTGGAGATGAGTCACAGGAATCTTTATGGAGCCAGCGTGAGAAATGGAAATGTGCTGTGTGAATTAAATGTGTTGTCATTTTGTGAGGCAGAACAAAGGTGCTGTTTGCTTCTCTGCCTGACTACTTCCCTACACTCCAGCTGAACATTGACAAAGCTGTCTGCCTAGGAATCTCCAGGACAGCCCCTGAAGCTATTGGCACCTGGGGTTTTGCATCAGTGCCCCATCTTCTTCTCTAGGATTAAGCTGTAATGCAGATAAGTGGATGTTTTGCTAGAGGGTGAACACTGAGCATGGCCTGCTGCTTACTCCTTTTCCTTGACCTAATTCTTCAACACAGAATGGGGTCAGAAGTTGAAAAGGCTATGTTCATTCACTTGGGCACTAGAGAACACATTACTATTTGATTTGTTCTTTTAAACAAAATCATTGTTTTTCAAACCATTTTCTAGCACATATACTAAGTTTGCTGTGGTCTTGGCACTGTCTCTGGAGATAGAAGTTGTTTAAGGAATGGATCTGGTGGACAGTGGGGGAATGCAATTTAAAAAGACTTCCAGATATTCCTGTTAGAGGGGAGATGGAGCATTTTTCCTCACCCTTCCTACTTGAGGCTCATTGTAATAGGTGGTTTTTCTTTTCTAGCCCACACCAGTTATCTTGTTGAAAGAAGGGACTGATAGTTCCCAAGGCATTCCCCAGCTTGTAAGTAACATCAGTGCCTGCCAGGTGATTGCAGAGGCTGTGAGAACCACCCTGGGCCCCCGTGGCATGGACAAGCTCATTGTGGATGGCCGAGGTAAGTCTGCAGGATTCCCCAGGCCAGTGTTGCAGGACAGGAGGCTTCTGGGGAATACTGGGCCAGCAGAAGTTTGCATCAGAAAACTCACTGTTTTTCTGAGCTTTGAGAGATTTCTCACTATGAAATGGCTCCATTGCATGCTTGGTCTTGAATGCTGAGCCCTGTGGGAATACATAGGGGAAGCTGGGCTCAGGAGGCAGTTGATTCGTAGAGATACAGCCTAGAAACAGGACGTACGTAGAACCATCTGGCTTTGCCTGTGGTCACTGCCATTGTATAATGTTGTCAAGACAAAGAATAAGTTCCCTTTTATTTTTTAGCATATTAATTAACATGGGAGAGACTAGAGTATTAATTATGTTAATACTTAAATGATTACTCATTCTCATTTTAAAAAATACTATCTATATCCACTTGAGGCATGCCAAATGCTGCTCAAGGAAAAGTAGGGGCTCATAATCTTTGGACCCTTTATAAACAGAACTCTATGAAAAGATCAGTTTATTCCCGCTGTGATGACCTCTGCCCCATCCCAGTAAAGGGTGCATGGACTCCCAGTCCAACTAGAAGACAGAATTTAAGAAAGGGTCTTTAAATTTTCACTTTGTGTTCATTCCTTTTAAGGAAAAGCCACAATTTCTAATGATGGGGCCACAATTCTGAAACTCCTTGATGTTGTCCACCCTGCCGCAAAGACTTTAGTGGACATCGCCAAATCCCAAGATGCCGAGGTGAGGAAATCAAGCAGACGTGTTTCAATGGAGGTGGAAACACATGCCTGCTTGCTTCTTCATGCTGCTTTCCAAAAGTTGTTGATTTTAATATCTAAAATTATAATTTCAAAAGTAATATGTGCTTGTAAAAATATGTAGAAGCAATTAATTTTTAAAAATTTGTACCATTCCACTGCTTATAGCTGAGATCTTAGGACCAGTTGGTGTCATTCATACGCGTTTCTAAGGAAATAAATTTAACCTTACAAGATCTGGGATCACTGATGGTGGAACTGGTTTTTGCTGGGAGTTGGCCGCACGCTGCAGGGCACTTAGGAATGCATGGCTCAGGTGCGGACTGGTGTCCAGGCACTGTGACTTGCAGGGTCTGCCATGCAGCCAGAGATGCTGGAGGGAAGGATGCAGGTTGCTGCAAATCCTCACTCTGAGTATGGTCTCACAGATAATGTTGAGAGGATAGTAGAAAGGAGAATAATGCATAAAAGTAATCAAAACAGAAAGTGGGTCTCCAGTCTTTGCCACTTCATGCCTACCTGGATCAGACAGTTGTGCTTGTCTTATTAGAGGGACTTGCTGTGCTTGCAAAGGGAAGACCATCAAATCCCAGTGAATTTCTAGCATATTTTTTACAAAACAGGGCACTGTTTGAAGATCAAAACAGACTTAATGGGAAGAACAGAAAATTTTGGTTTCTACTCTAGATTTACGTAATTAAGAGGCAGCTTTCATTGGCATGATTTTCTCCCCTTTTTGCCAGTGTAATAGCCTTCAGGGCAACAGTTTGTTCCTGCAGGTGCAGAAGAAAACATTTTCCTTCTTTTGGTTTAGGTACCATACTTATTTAATGAGTGTATTAGAGGCAGTTTTTTTTCTCAGATTATCTTTAACTTTGTTTTGAAATTTTCTTAAAGGTTTTATTTATTTTTGTTTTTTAAAATATTTATTTTTTAGAGAGGGGAAAGGAAGGAGAGAAACATCACTGTGTGGTTGCATGACCCAGGCATGTGCCCTGACTGGGAACTGAACCAGTGACCCTTTGGTTTGCAGGCTGGCACTCAATCTACTGAGCCACACCAGCCTTACTTATTTTTAGGGGGAGTGAGGGACAGAGAGAGGGAGAGAAACATTCATGTGCAAGAAAAACACACCCCCACTGGGGTCCCCAACCTAGGCATGTGCCCTGGCCAGAATTGAACCAATGACCTTTTGGTTTACAGGATGATGCCCAACCCACTGAGCCACACCACTCAAGGCTTTCTTTAACTTTGTTTTTAAAATGATCTTCAAAATAAACTGTTAAACATCAAAAACAATAAAAGGTCTGGAAACCCTAAGTTTTCTGGTTTCCCTTTTTTTAATGGTAGTAAAATAAACGTAATAAAATTCACCATTTTAACAGAAACCATTTCTAATATTGGAGTCTTGATAATAAGTGTTGAGAGAAACATGTTTATGTTTTAGAGTATTGCAGATATGTCCTAAAGTTATGTGAAAAGGCTTATTACGACCCAGTAGCCTATAAAACAGTGTGACTTTTCTAAAATTAAAGTGAAAAGAGTCTGGATTTGACCTGGTAATGTTTTCAACAAGTGAATAATAGCTTCTGGACAGGAGTTTGGCTGCTGAAACCCTTGGTCACAGTAACCCTTTTTCTCCATTGAGAATTCTCTACTTTACACAATGGATATATGAGATCTGTCCAGAAAATGTCCAGTCATTGTTAATATAACAAGAATGGTTTGCATAACATCGATGTAATCTGGCCCCCAAGGAGAGTGTACTGGAATGCACGTGTGTGAACAGTGATGACTTCACTGTACTAGTCAGTGGGGGCCGTATATGCCTTGAGTGAGCGTGTGTACTGTGTGGCTGTCACATTCAAAATGAGCAAGTAGAGCAACAAATCTGCATCAGATTTTGCGTTAAGCTTGAACATTCCTCTGCAGAAACTATTTGGACGTTTCAGAAGGCTTTCAGGGATGATGCAGTGAGTGCAGCACAAATAAGAGTGTGTCACCAATGCTTAAAAAATGATGGAGAATCTGTTGAAAGTTACCCATGGTCTGGAAGGCCTGCAACAAGCAGAACACTTGAGAGTGTTGAATGTGTACGGGCTGCAGTCAACAAAGATTAATGCCAGACAATGAGAGAACTAGAAGCTGGCCTGGGGATTCCCAAAACTACTGTGTCTGAGATTTTGACAGAGGATCTTGGCATGAAACATTTTGTAGAAAAATTCATTCCACAGCTCTGCTACAAGAGCAGAAGGAACATCGTGCTGCAGTTGCTAATGACTTGATTCAAACCACTACCAATAAACCAGATTTACTTGAGAAGGTCATAACCAGAGATGAACTGTGCGTCTACAGCTGTGATCCGAAAACAAATGCCCAGGTGTCCCAACAGAAGTCAGTCACCCTGTGCTCCATGCCCGAAGAAGGCACCACAAAGTTGCAGTGGCCTCTAGACCACGTTAACTGTGGTTTTTGATTGGGAAGGTGTTGTCCATCACGAGTATGCCCCTCCAGGCCAAACAATAAAGAGTGATGCTGCAGTGTTCTTCGTTGGTTGAGAGATGCGATAAAATGAAAACGTCTGCAGCTATGGGCAGCTTGTGATCGGCAGCTTTATCACGACAATGTGCCCACTCGTGCATCACGTCTCATGCAGAGTTTTTGGTGAAACATCAAATCACCCAGGTGACTCAGTTTGCCTACAGCCCAGATTTAGCATCCTGCAACTTCTGGCTTTTTCCAAAACTATGAGTATCACCTTTGAAAGGGAGAGATTTCAGACCATCAGTGAGATTCAGGAAAATATGACAGGGCAGCTGATGGTGATTCCAACAAAGAATTTTGCACTGTTTTGAACAGTAGAAGAGATGCTGAGAAAACTGAGTTCCCAAAGTGCCTACTTTGAAGGGGATTGAGGGGTCATTGTCCTATGTACAGTTTTTCTTATATCTACTTCAATAAATGTCTCTCTCTTTCATATTACATGGCTGGAGACTTTTGGACAGACCTTGTAAGTAAATTGCAACTAAATTTTTCCAAATCTGATGTTAGTCAGTTTTCTTATGAGCTCTTATTCTTTTTCTCCCTCATTAAAAATAGAGTTTAGATGTCATTGTAGAAAATTAACATGTAAGGAAGATTAGCAGACTAGTAATCCGCTTATTCTGAACAGTGTTTAATATATAAAGAACTTTGGTTGGTCCTAGAAGATTAGTTTTAGAGGAACTTGGCTAGAAAATATTTTTTTTTGACCTCGGCTGGTGTGGCTCAGTTGATTGAGCACTACTAGCCTGTGAACCGAAAGGTCACCAGTTTGATTCCCTGTCAGGGCACATGCCTGGGTTGCAGGCCAGGTCCCTAGTTGGGGGCATCACATTGATGTTTCTCTCCCTTTCTCCCCCCCTTCTCCTCTCTCTAAAAATAAAGTCTTTAAAAAAAGAAGATTTTTAAAAATTCCCATAGCACTTTGTACTCCTTAAAGAATATTTTTATTGCCCTGGCTGGTGTGGCTCAGTGGTTTGAGTGCCGGCCTGTGAACCAAAAAGTTGCTATTTCAATTCCTAGTCAGGGCACATGCCTGGGTTGCCAGCCAGGTACTCGGCTTGGGACATGTGAGAGGCAATCAATTGATGTATCTCTTGCACATCAATGTTTTTCTCCCTCTCTTTTTTTCTCCCTCTCTTATTTTCTCCCTTCCCTTCTCTCTAAAAATAAATAAATAAAATCCCTTAAAAAAAAGAAAAAGAATATATTATGCCTTTGCTGCCGTGGTTATTTGCGACATGTAACTATTATATTATAAGCATGACTGCAGCTGTCTTATTCATTACAGTGCCTTGTATGTACTAAGTACGTTCTCAGATAATTTGCACATGTGATTTCATATCCCAAGGAAATTTAACCATCCAAGTCAATCCCCTTTGGGGAATGGGCCTGGCTGGGGAATTAATTTTGCAGCTCAGGACCATTCGATGGGATGGACACCTAACTACCATCACCCTCCTTCTGCTTGTTACGGCACCTGTGCTTCCATATTAAAGCTTCACACCCATTTCAGTAGTGCCCAGCTTAAACGGGTAGATTGCCTGAAAATGGGGTTTGGAGGATTTATCCCTAAACGTGAAAAAACATGAACGTCCTGTCTTCCTCTTCCAGGTCGGTGATGGCACCACCTCAGTGACCCTGTTGGCTGCAGAGTTTTTGAAGCAAGTGAAACCCTATGTGGAGGAGGGTTTGCACCCCCAAATCATCATCCGAGCTTTCCGCACTGCCACCCAGTTGGTATGTGAGAACCACCTAACTTGGCCTTGTGCCTAGGCACCTTTATATTTCTCTTAGGGTAATTCTTTGGGGTGTAGAGAGACTGGGAAGAGAGTGCCTTGGACATTTTCTGAATTCCATTCCCTGGGAGCCTCAGTTCTATAGTTCAGTAGCTATTTGATGGTCTATCATGTAGATAAATCATGGGCTGTTCGTAAGTAAGAGCTATTTTTGTTTTTTTCAAGTACTTCACAATACAATTTGAGACGTGGATTTTATTGACCTTGACCTTCATTCTGTCACCTGGAGCAAGTTAGTTCCTCTAGGCCTTCCTTTCTTCCTTTACTATCTGTTTCAGCGTGGTGACATTCAATGAGATATGTAAGAAGTAAGATATGTGTGTATCATGTTATATAACATCTAATTAATACCTAAAGTGCTAGAAGTTATTATGGATGTTTTTCATAAGCCAGAAGGTTTATCTTAACCTAGTGTCAGCTCGTTTTCACTGATTTGTTTTAGTGTGTTACCTGCATATCCAGGGCTAAATCCTGGAAGTATGCTTATGATTCTTCAGAACTATATACCTAGTCTACATTTCAGATTATGGTAGTTTTCTGAACTATAGAGATCTACATTTTTCTGGGCAGCTCCAAGACTTAAAGATGTTGTTTCAGCTGTAGAATAGAAATGCTTAAGATGTGGGAGTAAACAAATTAGGGACTAGGAGGAGGTTGGGATCCACTTCTCCAGTTGGTGGCATGATGGACTTACTCAACTTCTGTTCTTGGCAGGCAGTTAACAAGATCAAAGAGATCGCTGTGACTGTGAAGAGGGAAGATAAAGTGTAAGTCTGTGGTGGGCTTTGTCAGAAGCTGGGCTTTCTTTGGGCAAATTGGATGCAGGAGCATGTTGTAATTTCTATATGGGCCTGGACTTTTGGCTCTTGCTAGACCCTTGGCTGTGCCCCAGCCCACACTGCACAGAAGAGGCCGGAGGACTCTAGGTTAAAAGTGGCCTGACTGCACTCACTGTCTGTCACTGGTAACATGCCCTGAAGAGGCAGAAGAAGTTGGTGAGGGCCAAGTGTAGGGGCTAGAATGGAAGCTACCTCCACAGTGCAGTAGAAGCAGGGGTTTCAAGGCCTGATGCAGGTCTCACTCTTGTGTCCCAGGGAGCAGAGGAAGCTGCTGGAAAAATGTGCCATGACTGCTCTGAGCTCGAAGCTGATCTCCCAGCAGAAAGCCTTCTTCGCTAAGATGGTGGTGGATGCGGTGGTGATGCTCGATGATTTGCTGCAGCTTAAAATGATTGGCATCAAGAAGGTGCAAGGTGGAGCCCTAGAGGTAATCCTGCTACGGCCTCCCTAGGAGGCTCCTGCTTTCACTTTCACCCTTCAGACAGCATGGTACTGGAGGAGGGTAACTTTACCAGGGTGCAGGAACACTTGCAGGGCTGGAAGGCAGGCTGGGCTGGGTTCTGCATGGTTCCATGATTGGCTGTGACTGCAGATACAGTATGTAACCTCTGTGAACCTATATTTCCTTCTTAGAATGAAGACTGAAGTGGCCGAGTTCCAGAATCCCAGTGTTAATGTGGGCGGGAGTACGGCTAGATCTGATAAATTATCTGTGACCCTCTCAGTGAATGATTCTGAGCAGTACTTTTTAATCCGTTCTTCTCCAGTAGAGATAGCCACACTGTCCCTTTTATTCGGTTAGTTTGAATAGAAGGTACATAGTTCAAACTGTATTGAAGGACCTAAAGGAAAAAATATACGTCCCCTATACTACTTCTGCCCCAGATTCAACCACTGTTGTGTGTCCTTCCAGAATAATCTCTGCTTCTGTAAACACATGTAAATACAGCTTTCTTAAATACAATGTTTGCTTATCATACATAGTTTTCTGTTAACTTGCTTTTGTCCATTTAACAACATTTTCAGAATCTGATCCATATCAGCACGTGTAGCTCCTAACTCAGTGCTGCCCTGTAGAGCTTTGTGTGACGGTGAGGCTGTCAAACACCTGCACTGTCCAGTATGGTAGCCACTGGCCAGGTGTGACTACTAAACACTTGAAATGCAGTTAGTGCAACTGAGGATCTGAAATTTTTAATTTAATTTGCACTTACTTAACTTGAAATAAGCAAAATAAGCAACATGTGGCCAGTGTCTGCTGTAGTGCATGGCATAACTGTAGCTCATGCTTTTTCAACACAGTAGTGTCTGTCTGGAAACCTTCTTTGGTGTTGGTGTCTCCATGCTGCTTTGGACCCTTTCCAGTCTCTGGCCCGCCCACTTGAAGTGATTTGGACAGGGCAAGGCCTGCTGGACATGTTATAGCCTAGCCCTTCTCTTTTTGTTCTTTGACATTTCCCCTTGCAAGTCATGCTTGCTCTCTGTCCTTCTCTCTCCTCTTCCTCCTAACTGTCACGGCACTGCCAGTGAGCTGAGGGCCTTTCTGTGGAATAAAGCCATGAGGAGTCTGCAAGCTGGCTGAGCCATTCCCGTCTGTGGCCCCCAGTACCACACTCATTTTGCAGCCCATTCTCTACATTGTGGCTTGCTGACCTTTTCTTTACCCACTGTATTGCTAGCAGTGTTTTGTCTTCCCCCTTGGCCTTCCTGCTTCCGTAAATGCTTGAGATTAGATTGGCATTCACTAAACTAGACATCAGAACTAATAATCTCACCTTATGAGAAAGCCAGGAGCTTTAAGCCATACTTGTGTTTTCCTCAGACATTCCCACATTTCTTAAATGCATGTAAACACTAACAAAACCTAACATAATTCAGTGAATGAGAGCCTTGACCGGGGAGGCTCCGTTGGTTGGACATCATCCTGCAAAGCAAAGGGTTGCTGGTCTGCGTCCCGGTCAGGGCACACGCCTGGGTTACAGGTCTCTGGTCAGGGCGCGTGTGAGAGGCAACCAGAGTTTCTGTCTCACATCGATGTTTCTCTCCCTCTCTCTCCCCCTCTCTAAAAACAAATAAAATCATTAAAAAAATAGGATTCAGTGAATGATGGTAGTAATTATTTACTTATTCTCAGGATTTAACTGAACTGCATGATCTATATCTTCAGCTTTCACCTGTCCCCCAGGCCTCATGCTTTTGTATCTAACTGCTGCTGAACCCCTTAGCTTATCCCCCAAAGCCACAGTGTTTTCTGTATTCCTTGATGGAGTCGGTGTTGTACCATTTATTCAGCCGTGTGAGCAGAAGTCTAGGGTCCTCCTTGAAAACCTTTCCATCTCCTCACAGCCTTTCAGTCTTGTTTTTGGCCACCATTTTACTATTTAAGCTGTCTCTCTCACTCCCAACGCTGTTGCCCTGGCAGAGGCCACCCTTCCTCTAGTCTTGTTGCAGGGTGAAGTTCCCCTATTTACTGCCCTGCGTGTAAAGCCTTTTGGGGCTCAGCACCGCCTATAGGATAAGAGCCAGGCCTTACTAGAGCCTATAACATTCTCCTAAACCGGTCTCTAATTTCTGCTTTACATTCCAGCAACTGCAAATGCTTTTTTATTCCCTGATCCCACTGCACTGTCTCCACCTCTTGGCCACATGTCTGTCTTCCATTTTTCTGTCTAATTTCTGGTCAGTCATCTGAATTCAGCTCAGGCCTCATCCTATTAAAGGAAGCTATGGATTTAAATGATGCAAGAATCTGTTTGCTGATAGGCTGCAGTATTATAGGTCAGGATTGTAGATTAGCCCTGGCAGAGGACATTCAGGAGTGGGAAGTGACTTGGTCATGTCGTAAGAAAGAGATCTGAGATGTTATCTAGGTTTCTTTACAGCGCTGAAGTCAGTCCCTGGTGCAGCATGCTTTCTGTTATAGCCTACTATTAAATCCAACCCACGGGAAGCTCTGTTGTGGGACAAGAGGTAGAAATTAATGTTCTGAGGGATCGAATTGTAGGAAGCCACAGTAACATGTTGGGAACTGTTCAGGAAATTTCTGACACTTGGGATCTTTCACCTTGTCTCCTGGGAAGAGGAAACATCAACGCTGCAGCACACGCACCTGTGTGTGCACCTGTGTGTACAGTGGTAGTGCAGGGAGGAGGGGGTATGTGTAGGTGTGAGCAACACAAGATGGGGGGTTTGGGATTGAAGGGGAAGGCACGAGACAGCCTGTGCTATATTTTGCATTTTCCCCAGCTTTTACAATTACGGGAAGATTTCATCACAACAGTGAAATAAAGACAGTTAACCTTTGCAGGGTCACAGGAGTGGGTGTGCACTGGTCCAGCACACCACCAATTTGCTTTCCTTTCATTCCGGGGCCGAACCGCTTAATTTTTTCTCTTTTTTTGAACAGGACTCCCAGCTGGTAGCTGGTGTTGCATTCAAGAAGACTTTCTCTTACGCAGGGTTTGAAATGCAACCCAAAAAGTACCGTAACCCAAAGATTGCTCTTTTAAATGTTGAGCTCGAGCTGAAAGCGGAAAAAGATAATGCGGAAATCAGAGTCCACACGGTTGAGGTAGGCCCCAGCAGCTGGCAGTGGCGTGGAAATGGACAGCTTTCTGGGCCAGGGCCTTGGGTCTCGTGATTGTCTTGGCTTCAAGCTTCTGTGGGCCCCTTTATCCTTCTGTCACAGTAAATACCAATATCTAAATACTGAGGCCACTTCTTTTCTGTGCTCTTTGAGAGTGACCTGGACTTGAGGAGATTTGGGAAGGGCAGACCTGCTGAAATATTACCCTCTAGCCGCAGAGACGGGGCTCTCTAGCTACATGGAGAGCCCAGTATTTGATCCCTCTGGTTTGAGCAGACGGGGCTCCTTCCTGTTTAGCCTGGGTCCCCTGCTGCGGGGAGAAGTGTGCACCCATCGATGATAGAAGCAGTGCTCACTCCAGGCAGCAGTGTCACCCAGCTAAAAGCAGGTACTCCTGGGAAGTGTATCCCCAGCACAGCGTGACCTTTGGGGAAAGGGGTCTTGCCATTGGGAACTGCATGGATGAAGGCCTCAGAGGAGGCCAGAACCAGTCCAGACTGAACCATTTCTTACATGTCGGCAATGCCAGCTCTGGAGTAGCCTCTAGTCCTGGGGCTACTTTCTGCTTTTGTGGTTGAAAGTTTTAGGTGGTTCCTGACAGGGTCCTTTTTTATTTGGACTGAGGAGAGGCTATTCTCTTTATCCCTATTAATTCCCAAGTAAATTAGCACGGGAGATGTATTTTCACCCACCATATATGCTAACCTCCACTCCAGAGCATCCTCATCCTTGTCTCTTCAGGATTATCAGGCCATTGTTGATGCTGAGTGGAACATTCTGTATGACAAGTTAGAGAAGATCCATCATTCTGGAGCCAAAGTTGTCTTGTCCAAGCTCCCCATTGGGGATGTGGCCACCCAGTACTTTGCTGACAGGGACATGTTCTGTGCTGGCCGAGTGCCGGAGGAGGATCTGAAGAGGACGATGATGGTAACCCAACTTTCGCAGGCTGCTGCTTGGCTTTCATGGCCCTGGGTGGGGACGGTTATTTACCTGTGGTGGGCAGGAGTGCACCTTCGTGGCCCTAGGGGGTCGGTTATTTACCTCTGGTAGGCAGGAGTATGCTGTCAGGGTGGCATGTGAGTCCAGGCCTGTCATCTTGTTGCCGTAAAGCATTGCAGTCCCAGTGTGCATGCGCTCGGATACAAGTGTTAGTCTAACCAAAACAGGTCAGGGAATCTGATGTGTGAGGGAACCTAGCAGTAACGCTGTGATCAGCTGAATGCACTCACGTGTTGATGCTTCCAGCCAGGTTTTCTTTCTTCTGCAGTGTCTCACCAAAGACACCTAAGTCTAAAGCACTGATCCTGACTTCATTTGTTGGGCCCAAAGCACCCTAGTTTGGTGGAAGAGTGTTGGGGAAACCACTGGGTCCCCATTTCCTTTTAACTAGGTCTGCTTGTCCTTCACATGCCTTAGTTCTGTTTTGTTTCAGAAAGGGTAAGGGTCATCTGGAGATCAGGGGCGGGAGTGGGTCATGCAGTGCTCAGGGCTCTGGGGCACCGTGGCAGAGTCCAGCATGGGAGTTGGCTCTGACCCTAGGTGACAGGAAGCTTACTGGGCTGTGTGAGCCTTCACTGTTGGGGATCTTGCCCTCTTATGCTCCGCAGGCTTGCGGCGGCTCCATCCAGACCAGTGTGAATGCTCTGTCAGCAGACGTGCTGGGCCACTGCCAGGTCTTTGAAGAAGCCCAGATTGGAGGCGAGAGGTGAGCCGCAGACCTGGGCTGCATTGTAGCTGAGCTCACGAGGCTTGCCTGCGTGTGGCCTCCTGCCATCCCGTGGGTGTGGAATACAGCATGTGCTACTCTTTTTTTGATGTCTTACCTCTTGGGGCATAAAGAGCTCAGGTGTAGTGTATTTTGGGGGGATGATCACATTGGGTCCAAAGTGTGACTCCACAGTCTTTTGTGTCCCAGTGGTACAGCTCCAGACATTGCCAAGTTGTCTTGAAGGGTGGGCTTGGGGAACCTCAGTGGGACAGAAAGGAGCAGCTGCTGTGTGTTGGGAGGTTTGATGAGGTCAGTGCCCAGCAGGCTGGCAGTGGACAGGACTTGAACTGTATGATTTGACCCTGCACATAGGTACAATTTCTTCACCGGCTGCCCCAAGGCCAAGACATGCACCATCATCCTCCGTGGCGGTGCCGAGCAGTTTATGGAGGAGACAGAGCGGTCCCTGCATGACGCCATCATGATTGTCAGGAGGGCCATCAAGGTACTGGGCTGGTGGCTTCCTGCCTGACAGCCCATTCTCCCTCCCAAGCTAGTGAGACCCTGGGTTAGCATGATGAGTCCTTCCCTGGGCGGCATCCAGACCCTGATTTGCCTCACACATCATAGAGGAAAAGCCTCAGTCTCTCAAAATAAGTCATGCTGCCTTAAGGCCAAGACTCGTTCTTATGAGCAAACTGGAGCTGAGGTAGCCAGCCACCCCAGGAACTGTGCCAGTGTCCGCAGGCTGCAGGCCACCTTGAAGATGGTCAGAAGCCATCAAGTTCACTGAAGTTGGGACATGCTAAACAAGGGTCACGTGTAGACTTCCTGGGGCTTGGGGTAGGGGAGGTCATGAGGAACCACTCCCTGGGCTGGGGGTCCTGTTGGCTGAGTGGCCCAGTTTCTCCATGGCTGGAGCTTGGCCCATGGGGACCACTTGGGTTGAGAAACAGGTCTGGTCTCTACAGAACGATTCCGTGGTGGCTGGCGGTGGGGCCATTGAGATGGAGCTCTCCAAGTACTTGCGGGATTACTCAAGGACCATTCCTGGGAAACAGCAGTTGTTGATTGGAGCATACGCCAAGGCCTTGGAAATTATCCCCCGCCAGCTGTGTGACAACGCGGGCTTTGATGCTACAAACATCCTCAACAAGCTGCGGGCTCGGCATGCCCAGGTGGGTGCTTGCTTTGGGGGGGGCTCCAGGGATGTGGGTGGATGGAGCTAGATTCTGGGTGTGTGCTCAGCCCAGGTAACAGTGCTGGAACTAAACTCAGTACCAACTAACTGCTGCCTGTGAGGGTGGAGGCAGAGCCATGGTGCCAGGACTGGAGGCCCCTGGGCTTCTTCAGCCCCCCTCCCAGGGGTGTGGTCTCCTCCCAGTGCGGTGGGAGGAAGCGGAGCAGCCCCGAGGCCCGGCCCCGACGCGCATGCTGGTGAAGCACTCCAGAGTCCTGCTGTCCCCAGTCCTGCTGTGGCTGCACCACCTCCGAGTGTTACCTCTGAGGACTTCATTTCCTCATTTGTTATTTAGCAAATATTTAAGTGCTGGGCACTCTGACAGCAGTAGTGCCCAGCGAGTGACTGTGCGTCTGACTTGTATTAGAACTTTGCGCAAATCTCATTACCTCTGTGTCTCCGTTCCTCATCTAGTGGAGACCGGTGGAAACGGTAGATGATACAGTAAGAAAAGGGTTGCTGCTCTTAAGAAGCATGGTTTGATATATGCAGTCCTCAGGTGGGACTGAGATGAGGCCTCCCTGAAACAGCAGCTGGCCTGGGAGCAGGCCATAGCTCTGTATGATCGGCGTGTCCGAGGTTCCAAGAGGGTGGTGGGCAGGGGCAGGGGTGGGAGAGGTAGACTTCCAGGTTCCTGTTTTGATGCTGGAGGCTGATGCCATCTTCCTCAGGGGAGTACCGGCAAATTCAGGGAGTCAGGGTTCCTAGTGTTCCCCGTCTTTTGGAGGGAGAATGTGCAGGGAAAAATTTGAAAGCAGTTCCGTGATGCCTCCCACCTTCTGATCTTTCAGGGGGGCATGTGGTACGGAGTAGACATCAACAACGAGGACATTGCTGACAACTTCGAGGCCTTCGTGTGGGAGCCAGCTATGGTTCGGATCAATGCCCTGACTGCAGCCTCTGAAGCTGCGTGCCTCATCGTGTCCGTGGATGAGACCATCAAGAACCCTCGCTCAACGGTGGATGCACCCCCAGCTGCTGGCCGGGGCCGAGGTCGTGGCCGCCTCCACTGAGAGGCACCCCACCTCCCACACAAGTGGTTGGCGGGCTGGCTGCAGGGTGCCCTTACGCTCTCTGTCTTGTCTTAGTTAATTGGTATTACAAGGAAGGCGTAGTGATTGGCCCATTCTGTTCTAACTGTAATTGCGGGTTATTTAAATAAACCTTAAGGCTTCGAATTCACTTTGCGATTACTTGGGGACAGGAATGTTACTTACAAATGTGTTTGACTGCAGCTCAGGATTTTAGTTTTATAAGTACTCACCCAAAAGGTGGAAAGATTACCTCCATCCTTCAGACTGTCTTCAGTAGCCTCGATGGTGGTTCCAGCAGAGTGCAGGTCACACTGCCTGCAGGAAGCTCCAGCTGAGCAGCCCCTGTCCTGAAGTGTCACTGTGATATCCGAGTCCCAGAAGCAGCTGGGAGATGTGGAGTTCCTTCCTTTTCCTCTGAATGTGTCTTAGCCCTGGCCCCACCAGGCACTGCTCCCAGGGTTCCCCTGGGTTTGAGTAAATGTGTTTCATGACCTGTGTGCCCCTTCTACCTCTGTGTTCTTTTGGTCTGTTTGTCGGGATCCTGACGTGAGGACTCTCAGAGGAATGTCTTAGAGAGGCCATATCCTCTTTAAGCTGAAGTGACTCAGAAGCCCATTGTGGGTGTGGCTGAAGGAGCGCCCACCTGGTCCCATTTTGCTCTCTTCTGACCCGTGCAGGTTTGGATGGGCCGGCACAGACCAACTCAGGGTCAGGGTCAGGCTGTACTGGATAACTGAGAGCTAGGGGAAAGCACTCAGGTCATACTGAGCTGCTGGAGATTGTGCTGCTTGATACTGGGGAGGAATTTTTTTTTTTTAATTTCTGAGTCCAACCATTCCTGGTTAGATGGATGCAAGTGGAATGGGGTAGCAGACAGGTTACCTTGGAATCCCTCCTCACTTGATGGTCTTTGGGTAAACTAGTTTTTCCTGAGTCTCAGTTGTCCTGAATGTGTAATGGACACAAGAACAGGTGGTTCAGAGCTGTGGGGATAAATGCTCATCTGCTTGTCTGATGCTGGAGCCATACGCAGTTTAAGCCTAAACACCTGTTTTTCTGATTTTTAGTATTTCAAGACCCGAGTAATCAAATAGATGGGAGAACCCCATTTGGCAAAATAGGGACGTTGAAGCCAGACTGTGTTGGGCAACTTGGTCTCTCCCAGGCCAAAGCCTGGTCGGCTGGCCTGAGCCTCCCGAGGAGCTGGTTGGGGCCGTGAGGGACTGGGCAGTGCCTGCTGCGCCTGCGCTGGGGCTGCCCTCAGATGGCTGAGTGCCAGGAATGGCCCCGAGGCTTTCTGTCCACGCACAGGCACAGAAAGGCGGTGGACTGGCTGGGGCAGTACTCTGCATGGCCTCCCCCAGCCACTTCTGTGGTCTGGGGACGGGTCTTCGTCCACCCCGCTGATGCCAGTCAGGTCATCCTCCTTCCTGCTTCAGCACACTTCAGCTGTGGAAAGGCTTGGTGACACAGACCCACACATAGGGCCACCTACCATTTAGTTCCCTGAGGCGGATAATCCCATTTCACCATCTTTTATTGGATACAAAGCCGTAAATTCTCCGTTGCCTGTGTGATCCATTTAAATACATACACTCAGGTACATTCAGCAAAGGGCATCTATGGGTCACGTGGAGCAAAGTGCTGGGATGGTGATGCCTGGGTGGGGCAGAGAAGTGGGGCCGGCGGAGGCCCCCTGGAGGCTGGAGGTACAGGCACCACTTCAGAAACAAAACCAAAAAATTCTCTCCACCCCTCTGCCTGATGTGCTTGGGGTGGGGGAAGCTACCCTCCAACGGCTCAGGCCCCTTGCAGCCTGGCTGTGCAGGGAAGGCAGGGCCTGGGGGTCAGCTGTGGAAGTCCCACCAGCAGCGCCCACTAGAGCCAAGCCTCCTCGTGCCAGCCACGAGGCAAGCCTAGGACTCACGGTGGGGAAGCCTGCCTGATTGTCGGGGCAGTCTTGGGACTGGCCAGGTTCCCAAGGGTTTGGGGAGGGAATAGGAGGTGGCTGCCTTAGTTGGCCCTGGTATTCTCATCTTCACCCAATTCTGTACCTTATTCTCAGGCAAGAGCTGCAGAACACACTTGTCCAGGAATAAATACATACACACGATACACAGCAATATATACAGAAATGCAGGCCTGGGACAAGGCTGGGTGAGGAAGCATGGCCACCAGGGCGGAAGAGATGTGCCAGGCCCCTGGGGGAGGGGTGTTCCACCCGAAGGGCCTGACAGGCTGGGCACATCCCATCACTTTGACAACTCTGGGCGCTTGGGCCCTGCACCCACCCTCTCTCCTGTTAGCCCAACTGGAGCAGGAACTGGGTCTTTGGCACCAATAGTCATCTGTTAAGGTCTTCAGTTTAGCGCCTTAGAAGGACTGGAACCTGGGTAGCTCCCTTCTTATGGCCCAAAGGACTAGAGATGGGACCAGGTGGGCAGGCAGGACCCAAAAGCAAAGGACAGAGCCAAACCTTGGAGCAGCAGGCCTTAGCAAGGAGATGGATTTTTTTTTTCTTTGGAGCAGTTCCCAAGGGGCTGGCTCAAACTCCACTTGTGGAACTAGGAAAACAAGAGCTGCCTTGGTCCTTCGGTGGTCTCTTCTGACCAGTGAAAAGCACTGGTCCTGGGCAGCCCACTCCCTCTGGCATTCAGACACTGACAGCATCTCCTTTGTTCTCTGCCACTGCTGAGCCAGCTGGACAAAGCATGATGAAACTCTCAAGCCAAGTATGCTAACCCCCCCCCCAGGGGCTGGGGTCAAGCAATGTGGCAGGGAAGTGGTAGGGACACCAAGTGGCCAACACTTGTGCGCCTTCTGTACATGCCTGAGCCCCCTGAAACAGGTCCTGCCTTGGCCTCTACACCTGTTCTTTGCATCTCTGTTAGTTGTGGAGAATATAGGTGAGTAAAGGAGGGCTGGACCCTCCATCCCCATTCCCCATCATCAGCACTGGCTATATGGTTGCCCAGGTGGACGAATGGACTTGGCAGGGGTAGGGGTCTGCAAACCTGCCAGGTCTTGGGCAGGTGAGAAGTCTGGGCCGCATGAGTCTGCCAGCCCCAGGGGCAGGTGTGCGGTGGGACATGCTGTACCCCATGTTTCTGTTGGCAGGGGCCCAGGCGTGTGCAACTTAGACTCCCACGCATCCTCCACTTGGCCAGGCAATACAGGGCAGGGGACTCGGTGGGTTTTCTGGAAACACCCAAACCCATGAGAAGCAAACTCCCCCCTGCAAGAGAGGAGATGGGGCCTTGTTCCCTCTGCTGCCCGCAGTGCTGGCGGCGTGCAGCGCTGTCACAAACACCACGAACGAGCCTACTGCTGGCACCAGCCCTCCCGGCACCCCCTTTCTCCCACTTCAGCTCACTGCCCACGCACCCTGACTTCCTTTCCCAGGGCTGATGCTGGCCATCCTGGTGGGTACCCACCCATGGAGAAATTGCCAAGAGTCTGTATTCTGGGGTGGAGGCTTCCTAGGGCAGACTCCGGCCAAGCAGGGCATCCCTTTGTGCTTTGTCCGAGAGACAAGGGCAGTACCTCTGGTCCTGGGGTTATGGGGAGCAGGGGCTATAGAGGTTGCAGCTGGAAGGCAGGGCTGATATAGCCAGGGCAGCCAGGCCCTAAGTGGACCTCCACCTCCCTTGTAGGCCAGCGAAGTTGTGCTTCTTCCCATGATTCCTGTGGACAGGGCTGGGGAGCTAGGAGTCAGTAGAGCCAGCACCTCTGGGGTGGGGATGCTGCAAAGCCAAGGCTTCGTGCAGGACAGGACGAGGAGTTGCCAACATGTTTGGGGTCTTCAAAGGGCAGGGCCAGAACAACCCATGGGAGAAAGTCATCGACAGGAAGCAGCGCGGAAGAGCTGGGTGGGGAGCCCTGGAAGCTGGGTGCATGGCTGAGTCTGGGGCCCCCTCTGGTGGCCTCACTGCCGGGTAACCCAGGGCTGGGTCTTTATGTCCAAGCCAGGTTGTGGCAGAAAGTGGGGTCCCTTGGAAGCTGAGAAACTGGAAGAACCCAGTCCCAGCCAGGACCAGCTGCCTAACAGTTAGGGCTGAAAGCCAGTCCTGCGCAGGAGAGAGGGAAACCCTTAGATCAATCTAGCTGAGTGTCTGAAAGAACTTTCAAAATGAAGGCTGGCAAGACCCACAGCCTTGGAGCCACTGTGGGAGTTCTGAGGAGGAACTGGGAGACCTGAGTCTAGAGCCTTAGTGCTGGGACCCGGTCCTACTGTAGGGACAATGTTGGGTCGGGTCGGTGAAAACCCCCAGTGCATTGTGGCTTTGAAGCCAAGTGGCTCTGGCTTGGGCCCCAGGACTGTCCCCAGGCAGAAAACTCCCAACAGAGCCCTCAACCCATAGGACCAGCTGAGACCGAGGAGGTGGCCAGGTTCAACGAGGGCGTTCTCACTCATCCCTGGCCCCACAGGTCTAGCTGCCTGCCAGGGCCACACCTTTCAGCATGCCAGACATGGAATTTAACTGGACCACCCCCTGGCCTTCCCCAGGCCCCAGCACAGAGGGTCAGCCCAGTGACTCCCTCCCGCACAGCCTTGGGGACCCACAGGCCATCAGAGTCCTGTCCAAGCACCTGGATTAGAAGGACATTCCTTGAGGACAGGAACTGCTTCTCACGGGTGACAGGGTTTCCCAGGGCCCCTCTAGAGGCTTGGGATTGCTGGCAGGTATGGAAACATGCACCTTTTAGCTCAGACTTCTGCTTGGGTGTGTTGTGGGGTACGTGGTTGTTGGGGGGAGGGGTCTTGTCTGTATCAGTAAAAACGTTATTTTTTCTTCCTGGCAATTTCCCCCTTTGGGAGGGACAGTCTCAGGTCCTGGGGAGAAGGTCTGGGTGAATGTTTTGCCTTTCCAAGCACACTCCCTCAGTGTACTCCCACCCCCTACCTTCGGCTGACCACTTGCCCAGACCCCTAGGCCTGTGTGTTGTCCCTAGAGAACATAGACTCAAAGCCTAGGTGGGCTGTCTGAGGGGGCGCCCCACAGAGGGCTGAGACGGACCAGGGTGGGGAGAAGAGCCCTCCTTGCCAAGTCTGAGCTGCCTGGAGGAGACCCCTCTGGCCTGGGGCCCAGCAGAGAACTTGGACCAGAGGCTGGGCCTCAACAACAGGTCTGCTGGAGCAGCCT